CATTCAAATAATCAGACTTTGTAGCTGCGGGGCCGTCGGATTGTCATGTCTTTAATCCCGCACTTTCTCGCACAATCAGAGTACCAGTGATGCGCTTTGATTTGTCAATGGTGATGCCAAATCTGCCGTAATATTTGAAAGCGAGCGTGACAGGTCTTGACAATTTTCTAATTTCTGCTTAATTGTGTGGGATAATATCTTTTGTAAATATAATGATAGTTTTGCATCAATCAAGACGCAATTTGCGGAGAGAAGTTGTTGTTGAAAGTGACAGGAAATAGAGATCTTCTTTTTCATTTCATTCACCGTTCGACATTTTCTGATACCTGAAGCATGATTTTTTTTAGAAAGTAAAGGTGTTTTCTTTTAATTGTACTTGTCATATTATGATTTCAGTAGGGCTGGGCGTCATTAAGTAGTTGCTGATACGATACATACCTCGATACATAGGCCACAATACGATACATATCCCGATTCAGTGCACTTTTGATTCAATACGATATATTTCAAATCGATTCTATACGGTTCAATAAAAAATAAAGGCTAAATCTTGACTGTGATACTAAAAGTCTTTGTTAAATCACTTCTTGTGCAAAGTTCATATGAAACACAAACATTTTAATCCTCCAAAACAGTGAAAATGTCAAATGTGTCGCATAAACGAGTTTCCTTCCTCTAAACAAACAACAAAACTGTAGCTGTAACAAAATAATTTAGTAAAATATACCAAAAAAATACTCTTGGTGATGTATCGATACAGCAGTCCACGATATCGATACTGTATCATCACTTTAAACGATACGACATATCAGTATTTTGATATTTTTGCACACCCCTAGATTTCAGTGTAGATTAGAGAAGTTTTGGCTTAGTGTAGACAAAAATTATGAAATTTCTCAACATAAAATTTGAACAGACAAAATAGGTCAGTCAGAAATAGCCAAATTAAACCTTTGTCTCTTTGAATTCTTAACTACTTAGTCCCAGCCACAGAAGAGAAAGGCCAATAATTTAGACAAATTTGAATACACAAATTAATAGGAAATTTATAAAAATGAAAAGGAAAGAATAAAATGAATAAAATGACATCTAGATGACGAAAACTGGGGCAGTTTTCCCAGATTCGAGAGTCCAGAGTCGTCATCTGCATGTTTGCAAACATCTTCAGATTTTGCTGCACTGGAAAAAAAAATAAAAATATCTCGCTAAATTAAAATGACTTAAATTAAGAACATTTTATTTTATTGAGTAGATTCAATAGAATCAATAGTTTGACAGTCATTCACCAATGGAACAAGTGTGTTTTTCTTAATTCAAGCAACACTCAGTTTTGTTTCTTATTTTAATTGCAAAAAGTTGTTGTTTTTCTTATTTTAAGTGCAGCAAGATATGTTTTCATATTTTAAGTACAAAAAGTCTTGTTCCACAGGCAGATGATTTTACTTGTGAAGTGAAATTTACTCAAATCATGATAAAACTTTAACTTTTTTTTTCTTAATTCAAGTCATCTTAACTTGGCTGAATTTAAGATGAATTTTTTGGGGGGAGTTTTTAAACACATTCAGCATGTGCACTTAAAAGTTCAGCAATTGAAATTTTGAATAAAAATGAACTCAAACATGTTTTTTTTTTTTTTTCCAGAGGTCAAAATTCAGCAACATTTAAAATACAAAATCTAATTAACCAAATGATCTTCCATAGTTTTGGGTTTGAGCTAAACTTTGATGCCTGTGTATATGAGCTGCTACAAAATCCTAAAAGAAAATAATAATACGTACAGGTCAAAATGAGAAATTCATTCATTTGTCAGCTGGGTAAAAGTTTATTTGGTCAAATATTTGTCATCTCTAAAAGCTCATCTTAATTCTGTCTTCTTCAGTTCTGGTTCAGATCTGTCTGGTGGACACTTCCTTATATCTGTCTAAAAATGAAACTAACTGGAACTAACACTACTCTGTTTACACAGTTTCTGTTTGTTAGCTAGGCCCAGTGTTGGGAAGGTGACTTTTAAAATGTATTCCCCTACAGATTACAGATTACATATCCCAAAATGTAGTTTGTAACGTAATCCATTATGTTATTTAAGGTGAGTAATGTAATCTGAATACTTTGGATTACTTGATTTGCTGTAGAGAAGCAAAGACTAGAATATCGTAACATAAAATGTTTTGTCTGCTAAATGAAAATAAAAAGCCCAGTCTTTACTTAACCGTATTAAAAATATTATTGATAGAAGAGGAGACACGTCCGCCCAGCATGGTTTAGTCCTGTTAAATCCTGTTTTAGTCCTGGTTTAGTTGTGGTTTTAGACCTGGTTTAGACCTGGTTTAGACCTGGTTTAGATCTAGCTAGGTTTAGTTTTATTAGACCTGCTTTTAGCTGTTTTAGTCCTGATTTAGTCTTGTTTTAGTCCTGATTTAGTCCTGTTTTAGTCCTAGTGTTTAGTCCTGGTTTTAGAGTCCTGGTTTTAGACCTGGTTTAGACCTGGTTTAGTTTCCGGGAATGAGTGGAATTAACAAAGTAACTGTAATCCAATTAACCACTCACTGAAACAGTAACTGTAACTGAATACAGTTACTCATAATTTGTACTCTGATTATGTAACACTGGTACATGTAATCTGTTACTCCCCAACACTGGCTGGGCCTACTGAACTTGCACTGAGTGTGGGGTCGTATTAGCAGAATCATTCAGGGTCATAATGGAGCTTTCACACCTCTGGGCCTGACCTGGACATCACTTTTGTTTTCTTGTCTTGTTTTGATTTTGTTCTGAGAATATAATTGTAAATAGGAGAAAGATGGTGTCTGAGTCCTCTGTTTCTGTTCAAAGGTGGACTGTCTTTCCTAACAAAAAATAGTTTCTATAACTTCCCTCTCAAACCAAATCTTTTCTCAGAGGAGCCCTTGGGTTTTAGGTGGCGACGTACAGCAGACTGAGGTCCTGTGTTGCTCTCTCGTCTGAGTTGGTTCATCCTCTTATGAAGTGGCTGTTTTGTTTCTCTAGTGTAGCGCTCACTGCAGTCTTCACTACACTGAATGGAGTAGAGCACATTATTTTGTTTGTGGCTCGGTGTTTTGTCCTTTGGCTGGACCAGATTCTGTCTTAAAGTGTTTGTAGGTTTGAAATCGACCGGGATTTCATGTTGTCTGAAAATCCTCCAGGCATAAGCATATAAGAAATAGTTACACCGTTTCTCTTGGGTTCTGATTCTTTAGCTGCTACTGGTTTAAACTCATGGCTACACGTGTGAGGCAGAGTGAGAAATGGCCCTAAGGGAGACAGAAAAAGGACCCCAGAGCCTGCTTAGAACCTGCTTTAGAAACTGCTTTAGAGGCATTTCGGGTAAATGTGTAAGAAGTCAGTTTTAATAGAAATCGACCACCCCTGCCTGGAATCCAAAGCACTTTCCCTGACGAGTGGAAAGACACACGCGTTCCAGATTCTGTGTTTCTTTGAAGCAGATTTGACTTTTTAACCTCTATAAACCCACTGAGACAAAAGGTCAAGGCCAATGTTTACTTAAATAGTACAATTAAAAACAGATGCCATAACCCCAAGGTGCTACTCCGTAAATAGGAATAGGAATTAAACACACGTAAGAGGCTGAATTAAGTTTTCTTTATGTTAAAATTAAAACAACTGGACAGATCTTCAACTATAAAATTACTGAATTTTGGTTGTTCAAATTCAGAACAAAGAATTCAGAATGTTTGTTCACCTACTTTACATGTCTGTGGACTACTTCCTGTATCAGAAGTGTCACGAGATGTGGCAGTGACGTGTCTTGTAGGCGGCTTTATTTCATAGATATAGATCAGTAGAGCTCACGTTCAGGTCCTTGGTGTTAATACCACCGCCATCTTGGTACAGGACTTCCATGGTCTAAAGTGTCATGGAACAAGTTTTCTCACAGTATCAGTGAGCGAAAATGATGGACTTTTGTGCTGCATATGGACTGACCCAGGACTGAACCAGGACTAAACCAGGACTAAAACAGGACTACAACAGGACTACCAGGACTAGGACCTAAACAGGACTGAACCAGGACTAAAACAGGAGGACCCACTGAACCAGGACTAAAACAGGACTACAACAGGACCGACCCAGGACTGAACCAGGACTAAACCAGGACTAAAACAGGACTACAACAGGACTACAAACAGGACCGAGGACCAACAGGACTAAACAACCAGGAACAGGACTCAGGAAACCCAGGACTAAAACAGGTAAAACAGGACTAAACCAGGACTACAACAGGACTACAACAGGACCGACCCAGGACTGAACCAGGACTAAAACAGGACTACAACAGGACTAAACCAGGTCTAAACCAGGACTAAAAGAGGACTAAAACAGGACTAAACCAGGTCTAAAACAGGACTAAAACCGGACTAAGCCTGGACTAAACCAGGTCTAAACCAGGACTAAAACAGGACAAAACTATATCCAAACCAGGACTAAATCACGTCTAAATCAGGACTAAACTAGGACTAATCTTGGAGTTGAGTGAGAGAACCCCAAGCTCGTATGGAGCAGGGTGTCCCCAAAGTGTGATCGGGCGAAAGATGGAGGCTTTGTTGACACATTTGTTCCAATAGGTGGCGGTACTCAATGCCAGATTTACCGTTCGATATCTGTGGTTTTACTTGGTTTTGTCAGACAGGAGGGGACGCTTATGCCCCCAACTGCCTGACTCCCGTGTGTGATATGGTGTATGCTCCCTTGTTACATGCTCCTTGGACGTTGTTTGTGGATCTCGATGGCCTCTCTGATCCAGCGCTGGTATTTGTTGCTTTACAAATTCCTTTCTTAAGTCCATGTCTTATGTTTAATCCCCGATGTTGTCGTTCTTGTGTCTGCTGGAGCGGTCAGACCTGTTAGAACACCCACATCGCTACAGTAGACGTGGCTGCAACAGAAAAAGCATCCGACATAAATGAATGAATTAGATCAAAACAAAAACACTCTGTCTTATTTGACTTTCTCTGTGTTTCCAGGTGCATCGCCGACTGACAGACTGAGGAACCTGAAGTCCCCCATCAGGTCCCCGGTCCCCAAAATGGGAAACCCGATCCCCAGCCCTTCCCCTGGACTCCAGAATCTGCCCCAGTGCACACGCTGCTGCACCGGCATTGTGTGAGTGTTTCAGCCTGGACAGACTTCGATACAAACCAATGACCCATACACAGTGTAAACATAAATGCTGGGGCTTGGACCAAATTAGTAATCTTGTAGTTCTCAGTCTTGTCTCGGTCTTGATGGTGCTTGGTCTCGGTCTTGTCTCGGACTCGAGGTCTGACACTCGATGAGTTTGATCATATTTCATTACGGCCAGTAAATGTTCAGAGGCTGCTAAATATCACCGCAAAACCAGTAACATAATGTAACTATAAATGTTATGAACTTGAAAAAACTGACTTTCTTCACTTTGAAGCAGTTTTCTGTAAAGTGCCAGTGGAAGCGGGATTAAAGAAGAGGTTCTTAAACTGGGTGAGGGTCCAAAAAAAGGGGCACAGAGTGTTTAAGTTCAGTACAGTTTGCTTGGATTATTTTAAGCCTAAATGAACTGGACAAAATGGAGATAGATTTCTAAAAAAATTGATATAAATGCGCCAAAATATGAATAATTGTAGGAGATGACAAAAATTGTTCTTGTTTTGGTCTGCTTTTGTCTTGGTCTTGACCTTTAAAAGTCTTGGTCTTGTCTCAGTCTCGACTCTCAGAGGTCTCGGTCTTGTTCTGGTCTCGGGACCCTGTGGTCTCGGACTGGTCTTGGTCTTGATTAATGCGGCCTTGACTACAACACTACAAATTAGGTTGAGGTCTGCAATTCCATGTAGGGGGAGAATGACATATTTGCTAGGGAAAATCTCTCATGTTAGACTCTGGTGATTAGAGATGGGAAAAAGTGAAGGTGTCCAAACTGTGATACAGACCTAACGTTAATCTTCAAAGCTTTATTATGTAAAAGATGGCAAGGCAAACCTATTAAATGCAACTGTTTGGGCAGTTTGACGTGAATAAATCCCTCAGGACAAAAGTGTTCAGTTTAACAGCCGGCCAACTATTCAACATTTACGCTTTTGTTTTGTGAGGCTGGTGTGTTGTGATGAATTTTACTTATAAAGTGTTTTAGTGTTTTTAATACACAATGACCTACAATACATTTTACATCCCCCTTTACAATTTTCACTTCTGGCTGTCGACTCAGTGACACCATTTCTACTAAAGTGTAAATTCCAAGTGCCCCTGCTCTTGTTGTTGTTTAATATAATAGTTCTGTGGTGGCAAACTATAAAACATTTTCCACGACCGTAATGCACACTTCAGTCATAAGGATCTGGAGACATGACGCACTCAAAAGTAGGTGAGAAAATGTATAAGGGAAAGTTTGGTTTAGTCTGCTGCTTTTGTCAAACACATAGATTCAATTTCACTTCATTATTGTATTCTGCTGCAGTGCTAAATCTAGAAAGAGTAGAGGAGTAGTAGTAATAATTGTTCACATTATTTTTCTTAACAATTGACTTCACTGACTTGATTAACAGCTTTCAAATATAACTTTTTTGCTAAAATCATACTCATCAGTCTGTGGCCCTTTACTGCATCTATCAAAGTATTTACCTTACTTTTTTTTTTTTTATATATAGAGAACATTTCAACAGCAATGCTTTCCAAATACTTTCCAAAAAAAGTGGGGACATATTAACATGTTTACAAAGAGTGTGATAAAATAACTAATCTGTGTCCTTGGAATACGACGTAAACATGTTCAAATCAAATAGAGCTTTTACTGATAACAACTGTAACGCTGATTTCATTCTAAGTACAAAAAGAAGATGTGCTATTTATGTTTCAATGTGGTGTTTTGGTTCTAAATCAGAAAGCAGATTGAGCCTCACACACTAGTCTCTCATTTGGGTTGCCAGTTTCCATCCGGTTGGTTTAATCCTGAAAAGACGAGTCACTATCTAAACCCCGGCACCTCCAGCCAAGCATTAATCAGGACTAGTGGAACAAATTCTGAGCGTTCACGTGAGTTAGGACATTTCCATCCATCCACTGAGAGTAACTTGTGTCCCCAGTCTGCAGGTTAAAGTCAGGATTCTATGAGGAGTGGTTCATAAGCAGAAGCACAGTTTAATACCAGTTAAATAATAATGTGTCATTACCTTTTATATTAATATATTGTTTGTAAATAAACATTTAACATTTATGTGATGTAAAAATACTTATTAATTAGTACAAAAAGACATTTAGTTAACTATTAACACGATATTAATACGATATTAGTTAATAGATTGTTTTGTATTTGTTTAAAACATTAATACACAGATTTCATACAAACAACTAATGTTTTGTTAATAATGGAAGATCTGTTAACTTGTGCCAAATAGGTATTTTAGTAACAATTATTAAATATTAATGAAGGGTTAGGTCAGGGGTGTCAAAATCAAATTCACAGAGGCCAAAATTAAAAACTGGGGCTAAGTCGTGGGCCAAACAAAATATTTATTGAAAAATTTCACAACAACATCTGCATGTTTTCTCTTCTTTTGGGATATGTAATTTAAAAAATGTTCTTATTAAAATAAATGTTTAATAATAGTTTTGCTTAAACATTGAATCCAGAACGAGCATAATATAAAATAATAACAACATTTTAAATAAATAATGCCTCTATAGTCTATCTGTAGCTGGCGGGTCAGCTCTAATACAGATTTGATATGATCTCACGGGCCAAATATAATTATATCATGGGCTAAATTTGGCCCCGGGGCCTGAGGTTGACATGTCTAGGTTAGGTAATGATTAGTTTGCTGTTTATTATGGCACCTTTTTATAAAGTGTTACCTAAATATGTGTCAATTCAAAGATTTAGATGCCTCTGATTTATGAACGGGTTTTTACATTAGAAATCAATTTACCTTTGTTAATTTTAAAGGTCCTATATTACGCTAAACTGACTCTTGTGAGCTTTTAGTCATGTTATAATGTGTTTACTTTGTCAAAAACACACCCGGAGTTGTGTTTTGTTTCATTCACACACTTTGAGTAATCCTGCTTTATTAGTCTGTCTGTGAGAGTTTTCTGTTCGACAGAAGAACTTCAATCTAAATCTGCAGGGTTTGTGCGTTAAACATACAACATGTGAATGAAACAAAACACAAGTCGAGGTCTGTTTGTGATGAAGAAACAACATTAGAACACAGATCAGAAAATAGCGTGATCTGGGCCCTTTAATATGAAATCAAGCAAAACGGCATTTCTAAATATACTCGAAGTGACGCCTCCACCCACACACATAGAGGGCGTCGTGCCAAGGAAACCAAATGCGCTGGTAATCCCTCTCTGTGCAGTAAAAGCAGCCACAGGTGAGCATGAGGTCATCGTTCACATAGGCGCCCATTGTAGACGCACAAAAACCTGTTACACCATTACAGCATTACATTCAATAGGCCAGTGTCAAGGGTTTATCCAGCAACACTGTGGTGTGGTGAAAATGTGACTCACTGCAGCTAAAGACAAATGGAACTCAGAAATGGACGGAAATCACTGACTCTGGAAGTGAAATTTCTGTTTTTTTACTCAATCAGCTGGAGTAACTCACTCTAAATATAATTAAAAGGCCTGTTCACGATTGTTATTGTGTTCCGAATGTGAAAACGGGTTCATTTTTAACAATTTGAGGTGATCCCAAGCTATCGTTTGCATTCAGAGCATCAGTTGTTCACCATGATGAGTTTGTAAGCGTTTTACTCAACATAAAGATGAGTTTTGACGCCACAGTAAAGCAGCTAGCATGCTTACACACACTTCCTGAAATGCTTTATGATGCTATATACATTCAGTCAGCATCCAGTGGACATATTTTGACCTTACACGTTTAACTCACAAATCCTGCATATGTAGACTCAGTTCCTCTCAAACAGAAAACACTGTTCTAGCTTGTGATGTCATGCGATAATACAGGAAGTGCTCCACTGTGTTTTTAAACTCCGTGCACCTTTGTCTGATTTTACTGTCTTAAAAAACAGACTCATTTTAAACAGTGGTGATCCAAAGTTACTTCTCACTTACCTTATACATTTTGAGCGTCAGTTGTGACACCATGAGTGCGTATACATGCACATCAGTAACCCGGTTATTAGCCATATCCCGGTTATGTCAGTATTCGGGTTACTGCGTTTACATGCGCACTGAGAAACCGGGATACTCATATTCACGTATACATGATCAAATGGAGTATCCCGGTTTCTTGACATAATCTTACAAATGCGCAGGCGCAAAAATTAACTTAAATCAATTTTATAAACCAGGAAAAATACAAACCGTGAGCTCCTTTAGCATAAGAAGCTATGGAGCTACGAGATCTCCCACAATCCACTGTGCAGATTCTTTATTAAAATCTTCTGCATAAATAAACTCAACTTTACAACATATAAACCATAAACACTATAGACACATCAGCCCGTTTGATCATATAATTCAGCTGTGATCACATTTGTTTACGTTTTACAGAAACGAAACTTAAGACCGTTTGGCTAATTAGCATAAACTGCTAGCGGCGATAAGAACAACTCGCTCCTTGCGCCGCTGATGCGATCAGTTTTTTTTTTGGACTAAATGACACGACTCTGTGGATTATGTGTGTTATTTCTGTGACAGAAGAGGCGCTGATGATGGTAAGTCTGTTCTGTGCATATAGAGTATAGGAGATAGTTCATGTTTTAGCTTTTCAGCATCACACAAGTGCAGGTCGTACGAGTGCAGATTGTACGTGTGCAGGTTTAGCGCAGCTCTTAATTTTACAGTCATTTCACTCATTTGGTCACTTTATTTATGTTGGTCAATTTATTTATGTCTCTACTGTTGTGGTGAGAGGCTGGAAAGTGTCTTTTGGACGCATGCGCACTCAACTTTATGTTGCAGTAACCGGGGTACTGCGTATACATGCCACAAGTATCCCGGTTACTATCGGAATAAACCAGCTACAGTAACCCGGTTTCTAATAACCGGGATACTGCCATAACCGGGTTACTGAAACCGGGTTACTGCGTATACATGCACCATCAAGAAACCGGGATACTCAAAAAACCCGATCATACCCGGGTTACTGATGTGCATGTATACAC